TGGTTGGAGACATTGAAGGATATGGCAGCAGTGGCGTTCTTGTTGTCGTTTCTTATCAGGTCAGAACGCTTGAAACGGTATGTATGCAGAGTTCGATTGCGTACTCTGTGCATTGACCATAGTGGCTCATCTTCTCCCTTCCTCAAAATAGATCCAACTCCTTTCCACCTTAAATTTTACCACTAGCCTTGTATGCATTGTGAATTTGGCAGCGGTCAGTGAAGTTCGCTTCAGTGTATTTCGCTGTACGATGATGACGCTTTGTTGCGAGCCAAATTCTCTTCACGCCTGGCAAACACCCACGAAATAGCCACCGACAACGGATACCCACGATACAATGTCAGCAATAGTTGCAAATCGGCTTTCGAAGCGAACTCTCCGATCATCCATCAACTCAATCACCAACCGAAGGGCTCACTGAACATTGGAGGCAAATCAAGAAAGCTGTGCAAATATCGATAAAAGCGTCGGACCCTGGTGCAGGCTCGAAACACAAACAGTGGATCTCGCCCACCTCGGTTGCCCTGCTGGACGCCCGAAGAGCTCTCCCTCTCTACGTCACAATTTGACAGCGCGCAAATCCCTTGAATACCTAATCAAGACTCTGAGGAATGACCGCGAGAAGTGATGGGTAGAAAGATGTGGAGAGATGGAGAAAGCTGAGGCTGTTGGTAATAGTCGCAATCTTTTCTGTCTTATTAGGAATACGGGCCCCAGGAAAACAGGCGCAGGTGAGGTAATTAAGGAATCGATGGCACACTGATTCACAATAAGCAACGCCGTCTTGACCGTTGGGCTGAACATTTCAAGGCTCAGTTCAACTGGCCCCCATCGACACCTTATCTTTCACTCTCCGCCTCGACTGGACAAATACTCCCAGTTGACGCCAGTCCTTCATCTGAAATGGAGATTGCTCGGGCAATAAGTTATCTCAAAAGGCAGCGGGCCTCTGGCCCAGATTAGCCGTTCCTATCGGCGTTAAAGGATGAAGGTTCGGCGTTAATCCTGGGGTTGACGAAACTTCTGGGCTCAATATATATACTATATACTATTAGTCATATCTTTAAACTCTTTTAGTAGCGTGCACGCCAAAGCAAAAGTGATAAAAAAATTTTCGCTGAAAATTCCGTCCACGTTTGATGGAATGAAGTACACTCTTGATTTGACTTGACTATTTCACTGTGATGGGTGCTTAGTTGTTTTTTTATACCGATTGTTTTAGGTAGATTTAGAACATATTCCAGTAGTATCGTTGGATGTGAATTCCCATCACGCGGCGATTGCGTCTGACTGCTTCATACAGATGTCGTTTTCTGAACTGGTAAGATTGTCTTTTGAAATTTATTACATCTCTAGGGTGTTTGTAAAGAGATCCTGGATGTTATCGAAAAGTTGGGCTGGAAGAAGCCTTCTGAAATTCAAGCCAAAGCAATACCCCATGCTCTCAAAGGAAGGGATATTGTGGGACTGGCAGAGACAGGATCGGGAAAAACAGCGGCTTTTGCTATTCCCATACTGCAGGATCTTATCTCAAAACCACGACATAATTTTGCACTTGTATTGACACCGACACGAGAATTGGCTCTTCAACTGAAGTCTCAGTTCTTGAATCTCGGCGAAATGTACGGACTGCGTGTAATCTGCCTCGTCGGTGGTCAACACGTTGAAGATCAGCTACGTGATTTGAAAAATTCAAAGTTCCATATTATTATTGGCACACCTGGGAGGATAGTCTATCTTATGGAGAATTCGAAAGATCTGCGCTTGAATCGCATTCGTTACTTGGTTTTGGATGAAGCCGATCAAATGTTAGAAGATACATTTGAAAGCCATCTGGCGACTATAATTTCTAAGATACCGGAATCCCACCGGACCCATTTATACTCTGCGACGATGTCCCAAAAGGTATGCATTTTTCGGATTAATAGATGAATGTACACTCGAAGGTCAGCAAAATTCAAGCCGTCTGTTCAAAGTCACCGGTCACAATTGAAGTTAGTAATAAATACACGAAAGTGGATCGCTTGGACCACGCGTTTGTATTTTTGCCTGACCAAGAAAGAGATATTTATCTGGTTTATTTACTTTCATGTGCAGCTTCAAAGGTGAGTAATTCTTCCATCGATGACGATAAGGAAAGCTTGTAACGTTTTGACACGATTGTTTACCGGAGGAATTACCTGTATTTCAGTTTTTTGTCGTAGGGACAATAGCATAGCTGGGGTGTCGTCCGTCCACCTCTTGCTCTCCCATATTTGGCGCTTCACTGTGCTCAACTGTAGAACGGTTAAATCCTGAGATATATTTTAATCTTGGTCTTTGTATATCGCTTACTTCTCATCAAATTCACGCTTACATCGGTAACGCCACATCCTCTTTCTCTCCTACTCCATCTGTCATCATCATCATCATCGTACAGCGAGATACAGTGAAGCAAGCTTCACTGATCGCTACCAAGCTCACAATGCACACAAATCAAGAGATAAAGCACAACATCGAGAGGGATTGGGCCCCATTTGGAGGGAGGCAAAGAAAAAGAACCTCTATGTTCAACACACAGAGCACACAATCAAAATGTTCATGCATACCTTTTTCAAGCATTCTGCCTTGTTAAGAAATGACAAGAGCGCCACTGCTGTCGGTTAGTCGCCATATCCTTTAATGTCTCCAGCCAACCAGTTGTAGTATTTCGGACCCCAACCTGGAAAACAGGAGACACC